GTTTGAGCCTGGCGAGGACAAGTTATATGGTACTGATTTGGTGAAGAAGGCCTTGGAAAAGGTAAAGTTGATTCAGGAGCGACTTCGCACAGCACAGTCCAAACAGAAGAGTTACGAGGATCAGAAGGCGTATGATTTATCATTTATGGTGGGCAAGAAGGTTCTCTTGAAAGTCCCACCGATGAAGGGGATCATGAGGTTCGGGAAGAAGGTCAAGTTGAGCCCAAGGTTTATAGGCCCATTTGAGGTGTTGAGACGAGTTGGGGAGGTTGCTTATGAGTTTGCCTTACCTCCCAGTCTATTGGGAGTTCATCCGGTCTTTCACGTGTTTATGCTCCGGAGGCATCATGCCGACTTGTCACATATGTTAGACTTCAGAACGATTCTGTTAGATGAGAGCCTAGGTTATGAGGAGGAGCCAGTTGCCATTGTTGATAGGCAGGTTCGCCAATTGAGATCCAAGAGGAATTCCACGGTAAAGGTTCAGTGGAGGGGCCAACTAGTCGAGGAGGTGGCTTGGGAGTCCGAGGAGGACATGTGGAGCAGATATCCACACTTATTCAGCACTCCAGGTATGATTCTAAACTCGTTCAAGGATGAACGTTTGTTTAAGAGGTGGAGAATGTAACGACCCGACCAGTCGTTTTGCTTTATAGAATCTCGTTCCCCTAAATAATACTTCTTGTATGTTCTTTTACTATTTTATGACTTGCATGGATGGTTAGTTCAAGACTTGGAAGGGTTCGGGTTGAAATCGGAACACTTGGTTCCTTAAGGTTGGCTAAAAAGGCTAAGTTTGACTTCGGTCAACATTTTGAGCAAACGACCTCGGAATCAGGATTTGACGGTTCCAATAGGTTCGTATGATGATTTCGAACTTGGGCATATATTCAGATCGGGTTTTGGATGACGCGGGAGCGTTTCGGCACCTAATAGGGAAAGTTGGTTCTTTGAAGGTTTTGAAGTTCTTTAAATTTGGTTTGGAATAAGCTTTGGTGATATCGAGGTACAAATGGGATTCTGATACCGCGAATAGTTTTTTATGGTGATTTAATACTTGCACGCAAAATTTAGTGTCATTCCGAGTAGCCTAAGTATGATTCGGCGCGTTCGGAGCGATTTAGAAACTTGAAGTTCATATTTTGATTCAATTTGGTTTTGGGGTGTGATTCTTGGCTTTTTTGTTGTTTTACGCGTTTCAAGAGTTCGAGCTGGTCCATATTATGTTTATAGACTTGTTGGTATAGTTGGATGGGGTCTCGAGTGGCCCGGGTGTGTTTCGGACCACCCGGAGCAAAGTTTGAAAAACTAGAAATTTCTAGTTTTGGTTTCCTTCTACGCGAAAGCGGAAGGACCCTCACGTTCGCATAGAAGGATTTGGGGGACTGGGGCTGGGGTTATTTTGCCCTTTGCATTTGCGTAGGCAGGCTGCGTTCTCGGAGGCCTGGGCCCTTTGGCCTTCCGTTCGCGGTTGAAGGGTTGCGTTCGCATTGAAGCCTGGGCCTGGGCCACCTCTGTTTCCCTTCGCGTTCGTGTGCGAAGCCCCCCGTTCACGTATAGACTTTTCTGGTCTCCTTAGGCCTTTGCCTTCGCGAGCGTGTGCTTGGCCGTGATCATGTATAAGGATCCCTGGGCAGAAACATTTTAAAAACGAGACTTAGGCATTTTCCTCTCATTTTTCACACACTTGGGCGATTTTGGAGATTCAAAAGGGGGATTTCAACCTAGCTACTGAGGGTAAGTAATTTCTATCTAATGTGAGTTTAATACATAGATTATAGGTAGATTTTAACATGTAAATTTGTAGAATTTATGGATTAGATGGAAAACCTAGGTTTTTGATAAAAATAGGATTTAACCATGAAATTTGTTATGGAACTTAGGAAAAATCATATATTTGAGTTCATGATGTTATGGGTAACAACTTTCTTCAAACATTTTCGGAATCCGGGCACGTGGTCCAGGGGGTGAATTTTAGGAATCCTACATTGGGGTCGTGTAATCACTTTAATAATTGGAATATGAACTTTCGAACATGTATTGATTAATTTATATACAATTTGATTAGTTTTGGATTGTTCGGCATCGAATTGAGAGTTTGAGCACAATCTTGTACCGGAAAGTAGGTTTTGAGATGATGTAAGTCTCCTTTCTAGCCTTGTAAGAGTGAATTGACCCCATGGGTGAATTGATTAATATGTGCTTCTATTTGTGGGGGGGGGGGCTACATACGCACGTGGTGATGAGAGTCCGTACGTAGCTACCAATTATGCTATTGTCCGGGTAGTCTAGGACCCATACCATGTTATACTTACAATGTTTGCACCCTACTTGTTAACTTAATTACTTAAATCGTGTTGGGACTTGAATAAAGAATTTTAAAAGGTTAAATTTCATTTACTTGAATTCTTGGATGGGTCACTTTACTGTTATTGAGAATTTGGGTTTCTTTAAATATTAGCCTCTTAACAAATCTTAAATCGGCTGTTATAAAGTATTTTATATTTTGTGGAGCAGGCCGAATGCCTCGGTAGCAGATAGATGCATCTATGGTTCGTGCCGTTCGACTCTCGGCAGTGCACAGTTTAAATATTTTATGTTGGATCGAGCCGTACGACCTCGGCATAAATTGCACATAATAAATCTTTGGAACTAATTAAAATTGATATTGTTTCATTGGCTTGAGATATAAATTGTTAAATGATGGAAACAAACTTGGAATTTATTATTAGTGAGAGGATTGCCTATTATTTTCTTGTGATTTAGTTTTCAGCTATATTTATGCAATTCATGTTTAGTGATAAGTTTGACATTTCATTGTTAGCCCATCGTAAGTGTTAAAGTCAAACCCTCGTCACTACATCTTCGAGGTTAGACTGGATACTTACTAGGTACATGTTGTTTTGTACTTACGCTACACCTTTGCACTAAATGTGCAGGATCTGAAGCTGGTGCACATCCCTGATTCACGAGACTTCATTGTGAACTGCCCTTCTCAGCCCGTTCTACAGCAGCCGGAGTCTTTCTTTTGCTTGTAATTTTTGTCTATTTCACTTTAGACAGTAGACTAGTATTCTTTTGTATATTCTACTAGTTGCTCATACACTTGTGACACCAAGTCTTGGGACACACTAGTAAACTTTTGGTTTTGGTTTATTTCTACGGTTATGATTGCATTCAGCTGCTCTCGTTTTATCTATTTTAAATTTATTATTTCTTAAATCTTTTAAAGTAAGGAAAGTTTAACTACTTGAAAACCTATTAAAAAGGGAAATTATCTGGTTAGTTCATTGTTGGCTTGCCTAGCGGCGGCGCTAGGCGCCATCACGGCCTATAATAGAATTGGGTCATGACAACCAACCTCAAAAAATCCATTTATGTCAATCTCCCGGATAAATTAGACTAGGAAATGGGCCGCACTTATAGGGATTGACCTTTCAAGAAACTGAGAAAGTACATTAGAGGTGGCAAAATAGTTAAAAAAAGCGCTTATCCAACCATATTATCCATTAAAAATGAGTTGGATAATGAATTTTTAAAAACGGATCGAATATGGATAAGAACCATATTATCCACTTAGAAAATGGTTAACCAAATGGATAACCATGGATAACTAATCTGTTTAACTTTACATTTATAAAGCCTCAAATCGGGGGTTCCTCAAGTTTGAAAGACTAGGAATTCTCCCACAAGTGATCATATTCAAGAAGACATGGATAATATGGATATCCATATTATCCGCCGGATAATTCATTTTTTATCCGTCTAAAATACGTGTCGGGTCGGATAATTTATTTGTTTTTTTGAATTACCCATTTTCGACCCGCTCATATCCGACCCGACCCGTCCATTTGCCACCCCTAAAGTACACTTTACTATGATAAGGACGACGACAACAATTTTCAAAAAGATGCCTTTAGTAAAAAGTGTTTTTTTGTTTATTGTTGAAAGTACTTTAATTTTATAGTTAAGGTGTTTGACTAAATTTTTAAAAAGAAAAAAGTATTTTTTGAGTAAAAGCAGAAGTAGTTAAAAAAATATAATTTTTTTCCCAAAAGTACTTTCCTAAAAAATACTTTTGAGAAATACACTCAAAAGCACTTTTTAAAATTTTGACCAAACACTAATTGCTGCTCAAAAGTGCATTTGAGAAAGTTCTGTCTCACGAAAGGTACTAACACAACTACCGATAATTTGATCTGAATAAAAGTATTAAACAATTTTACCGGTGTGCATCAATCAGTTCCAATATGATTTTTGCAGTTTAGTTTAAGTTTCGAATTTTAAAACTATTCGTAGGCATACATGTGTGCAGAAGCGGATGCATCCTTACAGCATCTTCATATGAACCCAACACTTTTAAAGCGTAGTACAAACTTATGCCTAATAGTTCACTTAAACTGCAACAAATAGTTAAGCCTGAATCCATAACTTTTAAAATAAATTCACTGCTAAAAAAGAGTATATATAAGCATGCATACGTAATGGATTGTAGCAACATTTCTCTATTTTGGTGAAAATGTGAAGCAAACTGACATAGATAAGATACATAGTTGTGTGATCCATGTGTTTAAAGAAGCATAAGTAGACATATTTGTCTCCAGCTTTTTATGCCATTAATTTTGTATTCTGGCACTTTTCCATAATTACTAAAGAAAATGAAACACTTGCAATGGATACCGGAACCATGATAAATCCCTTCTTACACTCAACTCTCATGCTTCACATAAGAATTGGTGAGATACTTCAAAAACATAAGGAAAGAGCATAAAGACCATGAAAATACTGATACATCAACTCCGTCACCGCCCACGATAATTAATTGCAAGAATGCTTCTCGCTAGATTTTGTTTGGGGGGCGGTGGGGGAGTGAGGGGTTTTNGTGCTTTTCCAGATTTACTCCCTGCCAATATTGTCACAAGTTAAGTTACGATTACGAAAACATTTGATTCATTCTTTCAAATCAAAGTAACCGAGGGATGCTACCAAGTCCAAGAACCTGTGAAAAATATCAGTACTTTATACACAGCAGAATTGTTTGACTGACGTATACGCTAAATTTCAACAGTTACAGCGTAAATACTCTCTCAATCCAGACAAAGCAAAGCCACTACTACTATATGGTAGATACAAAAATTGACCAGGCCCTTTACACTAACTTTGTAAACAAGAGATGCAATACATAACTGCCTTTACATGAAAAATGAATAACAACGCGCTTACACGCGATCTCATGATTGAATATACTTTTCATACTATGGAATGAAGACAACACTAACAATTGGCTACATGCTATATAGAGAGGGAGAAAGGAGTGGGAGAGCGTATTTTACAATGGGTGAGAGAACCATGGAATATTCTGAGAAGAGAGAGACACTTAAATCTGTTTCACTGTCAGCTTGATCACCGAGAATGTGGTAACAGATTTTTTGGAATCCATGGCACTAGGAATTTTTCATAGTGCTAGATAATTTCATGAATCACTCCAAGAATCCTCATCATCTTCTTCATCACTTCCAGCAAAGGCCTGTAATATAGAAAACCTTAACACCAATGATATGCAGAGGCTCACCTGATTCATATTTATTCCCTTGCATCCGCGTGCCCACACACAGAGACGCGCGTATAAGGAAAGACACAGAGAGGTTGAGAGACTGACCTGACGAATTGTTTTTGCTTTCTCCAAAATGGCAGCAACTCTCAGATTAGTTTGAGGACCCTGAATACTAGGTCTTGTTGCAACTGTAGGTTTCAAATTGAATGACTGGAAAAGCAAGAAGATGCTCAACGTTTAGCTTGGACAAATAGTTACCAACTAAGAATATGAAAACTATGAACTTAGAAAACAAAGCTAAATAAACAATAATTAAACTGATGCCCAGTCTTACCTTTTTCCTTATTTGTTCCAAGAGAGAATCTCTTTCATCATCCTTCTGTATTTCAGGCCTAACCCGCTCTGTTACCTTTCTCAACTGCACAATGATTAATGTTAGAAACGTGAAGTTTAACAACACTGTACTCTCCAAGTTTGACCAAAAAGAAGCAAAACTTACTTTGCTTTTGTCATGCACAGCAAGATCGTCAATTAGTGGAGTCCGTGGTCTTTGTAGTTTCACCATGCGGACCCCATTAGTGTTTCCTTCCTCCACAGCTGGCCAAATAATTTCCGCCTCTGTAGGTGGAATATTGTGATCAGGCTTTGCATTTTCTGTAAATGATGGAATAAATGTGCCGTGAGCCACCACATTTTTCTCCAATCTCGTAGGGGTTTCTTCAAGATTGGATCTGTTTAAGCTAGTCTCCGGTGCTAACAGATGGAGGGGATGATGCTGGGACTGGGACTGGGACTGGGACTGGGGCTGAGATGGTTCAAGGCATAATGACTCAGAAGCGTCTGTAAGCCCTGTATTTATAGGAGCTGCTTTTGGTTTTATTCCATCAGTTACTGGCATATGTTGTTCCAAATGATCAGAGCCTTGTTCGTCTAAAAGAAATTCTGGAGCAACTCGACTCAGTGGTTGGATAAGTTCTTCACTTGAACCCAAAGCATCAGTAGAAGGTTTATCCAGAGAAGTTACATCTGAGATAGAATTAACAGGCTGTGTTTCCCCTCCTCTCATGGCATGCAAAGTAGACTGCTGCACCTCATGATATTGACCTGGCAATGGGAAGTGAGGCTTTACAGAGTGTTTATCACCTGGATCAATAAACCTAACTCTACTGTTTCCACAACTGAGAGCTGTACTCTCTGTAGCTACAGCTGACAGTGCCATGTTTCGATTCACAGGTTGAGCATTCTGATCAGTCCTAGGTGGCAGACTTGATGAATTGGCACCTATATGATGCTGTGTTAGCTCCTCCTCCAAATCAGGGGAAGAATGTAATTTTCCCATCCTCCATTGAATTGGAGGAAGAGGAGGCAATGGGGGCATTTCCGCCAGATCGATCTGGTCACCAGGAAGCAGGACAAAGCCAGGAGAGGTAGAAATCATTGTATTCCCGTGTTCAAAAGGATTAACATTATGGCTGCTAAGAGGTAAGGGATTTGAAACTGAAGTTTGACATGGAACATTTGCCATAAATGGTATAGAAGAAGCACTGACGGCTCCAACTATATCAGCATGATTGGAGAGGCGTGCCTCTTCAAACTGAGGTAACAGCTCCTCTTTAGCAACACCTTCATCTATCAATTTCTCTTCATCTGGTTCTTTACACGGTATCTCGTCCTCTTTTCTGTCAGAGTGGTGGGTTGGCAAAGATGTCAAACTGTCTTGATTGCTCTGTGATAAAAGCTCTGGAAATGAAGTTTGACTGGGACTAAATGTTGGTGAAGCAATTGAAGAAGCTTCAGCAGATTGTTCAAGGTCAAATGAATCCACCTGTTGTGGCTGGGCTAACAGAGCTAATGGCTCTGATTTCGACTCACCATTATCCAGCACCTCCATTTTATCATGCTCGTGGATTGCTGACTCAGCCCTCTCTTCTGCACAGTTATCAGTTAGCAAGGGTTGAGGATCTTGATTGCTGCTGTGGGCTATAACATCTGGCACTGCATCTTGACTTGGAAGGTTTGGCAGCAAAGATAGGGAAGAAGCATCCAATGCTCGGTCAACATGACTTGAAGGCTGCATTTGCTCCATGAGAGGTGATTCATCATCGTCCAGTAATTCCTCATTGAGTTGATCATCTTTTAATTCATGCTTTCCTTCTTCAAGAGAAATAGTTTGCAATGATGAAGCATCTTCAGTGGAATCAACAACATTCTTCCTTTGGGAGGATACTTGTTCAGTATCCAAGCTTAATGGTGACTGACTGGAAGCAGTGTTTGATTCCAACATGTTTTCAGCATCAAAAGAAAGTTTGTTGTCAGAAAGAGTGTCAAGAACCTCTGGCTCGGGATGATGATAGTTGGATGCATCATGCACGAAGGAATTAGAATCTGGGGAATCGGCTATCTGTATCTCGAACTTTGATTCTACATGGCCATCAGGTAGATCAGTTTCCAATTCATTCTGGCTGGAATGTCCAATTAAGCAAACAGATTCTTCTGAAAACCTTTTCTGATCTAAAGACGAGTCTAGATCATCAATATCTTCTTTATAAGCCAAGGCAGCAAGAGAAGCAGTCTCATCTGTGACATCAGATTTATCTATCTTATGTTCTGTCTCATCTGAGAGTATTGCTTCTTTGGCCAATGATTCGAGATGTTGAGAGGTAATTGAACCAGTAGATGCACTTGCATACAAAAGCTCACTGGGGACAACACTATCTTTTTCCTCAAATTTCGTCATACTTGATACTTCATCATAATTTTCCTGCTTAGAACATGAAATCTCCACTTTTCCAGATTCAAGGGGCTGAATATCATTTGCAATTTCTGGAATCTGAGGGTTCAGCACATCAACCGAATTGAGGTCATCTACTCCACAGTTCTTACTGATGTCTCCCGGCTCAGATGTAACTGCATCACTGAATGCCCCACACGTTTCTTCATGCTCTCCATCTGCATCACCAGCTTCAATCTCTGTGGTGGTCAGGTTATGTGGCTTTTTCATGTATGTATCTTCAGCAGTTTTATCATGAGACATGGTAAACCATGAGTGTTTGCCACATTCTTTGTGAGGAGCACCCGATATATCCAGCGTTTGAGCTGAACCCTCAGAAATACCATTTGAATTCTCATTGCCTAAACCATTCAGATGATTTGGATGGTTTACAGCCAACGATGAAGGTGAGGTGTCACCTTCTTTTGATGGACCATCAGAAAGATTATATAAGCAGGTTAGATCTTCACCCAATAATGGATCCTCACGGTCCACATTGTGCAACTGCTGATTATCAGAAGACAACAATTTATGCCTGTCTTGAGAAGGAACATTTAGGAGCTCAGAAGTAAAGGGAAGATTACTAACCAGATTCATATCATCATCATCATCTAACTCGCTTTCATGCTGGATTTTAGGAGATTTTGACCACAGCAAGTTACCGGTGGCGCGGCGAGGAACATCAGAAGAATTTGATGCACGAGACACATTCTCACCTACACGCAAATTTCCATCAACCGATTCATCTGCTAGCTTGTGTTCAATGGATACTCTAGATGGAGAATCATCTCCGTTCTGTTCTGGTGCCTTGAAGATAACAGGAGCAGAGGGTGGACTGACATGCAAATCTGCATCATTATCTAACTTGCTTTTGCGCTGGACTTTAGGAGATTTTGACCACGGCAAGATACCGCTGGCGCGGCGAGGAACATCAGAAGGATTTGATGCACAAGACACATTCTCACCTACATTCAAATTTCCATCAATCGAATCATNCTCAAATTTCCATCAATCGAATCATCTGCTAGCTTGTCTTCAATGGATGCTCTAGATGGTGAATCATCTCCATTCCGTTCTGGCGCATTAAAGATAATAGGAGCACAGGGTGGACTGACATGCAAATCTGCTGCATCTTCTGCAATGCTAGCTAAAGGGTTTTCACTCTTGCCATGGGCGACAAACTCTTCATTTGTTTCAGCTCTCATCCCTGCAACTTCCAAACATATTCCTGCATAAGCATGTATTGTGACATAGGAGTTGAATCTGTAAAACTAAGGGTTGTGGTTGGCTCACCAGAGTCGCAACTGCCACTGTGTTCCCTAGCTACCATAATGCATCTTTTATCA